TTGGGGCGACTTAAGAGTCAAGCAACTGCCGGATATAGATATGATGCAGGGGATAGTTTTTCTACTTGTAAGGTAAGCCTCAGACGTACGGGAACACAACAGCGAGCTAGTAATCCTACAATACCTCGAAGTTGTAATACACCGATAAAATGAAACCCAAGGACGGACGTAGTAAAACTTTGATGCAGAGTGACAGTAATGCATTGGATAGAGTTATCACGAGCCAAAACCCCAGATACGTTTCGGTCAGATGCTTTTTTGCGATAAGCTGATTTTAAGGGTTTGGTGTGTATGACGACCTGGCAATCATACATCTTTCACCAATTTGTTTCATAGCGTTTGCGAGACTATCTAACGAATGAAGACCGTTTCGAAACAGCACCCATTGTTTCTACCTATTATGTAATTCTCAATGCAGATTCATCACTCAACTTTACAACAACAACCATCAGTGGTTCCTCAACAACGAACCGTAGGTACAAAGTGGGAAAAGCTACCGGGAACATGGTAGCGGGTGTCCCGATGATGAGCAAAGAATGACTGATAAGTTAACAGGATAATACGCTGATAATGTTGATAGAAACAAATTTACAAATGTAGAGGGATGATGTGAACTATACGCAGTTACATCAGGAAGGGCCAGTCAACAAATCTTGAATGTCTTTCAGTCATTGTACACAAAATTGAACCTGGAAAAGAGAAAATAAAAGCAAACATCATAGTGAAGAGTCAGTAGATACTGAATCAACGAGACATAATTACGGAAGTATAACCGTATAGATTCTCAAGTGAAAATGGAAGCCTTTTTCGACAATCTCTCAACTCTGAAACCGACAAATGAAGATACCCTTGGCTGGTTCAAAGAAAAATTGGTGGATATAGAATATCAGTACCGAACGACATCAATGCGGCAACGTACACTACTGACTGAAGCCCATTTGAGGGCTCTGAAGGAACTAAAATCGAATGAAAAGGTGGTTGCTCTACGTCCAGATAAAGGATACGGTGTTATTGTGATGGATAAGGTTTGTTACAAGGAAAAATTGCTCTCTATTTTGAATGATGAAAGAAAATTCAGAGTGGATAAGATAAAGGATTATCCGCAAGAACTGGAGAAAATCAGTATCGAGCTAAAAATCTTGATGCAAGCGGGACTGATTCGGGAATCCACGGTGAAACAATTACGACCGAGAGCGGGTCAAACGCCACGGTTTGCCAAAACTACACAAAGGCATTCCACTGCGACCCATTATGTCATTGTGCAACTCACCACAACACAAATTAGCCAAGTGGTTGGCAGAAACTCTAAAACCGGTGCGAGACTTCATTTCCCACTACGATGTGAATGACAGTTTTCAACTGTGAACATTATTGGAAGACAGAAATATTCAAAACAAGCATATGGTAACTATGGATGTAAATGCATTCTTCACCAACGTCCCTCTACTGGAGACCATCGCGATCATTCGTCAAACTATGGGAGAAAAGAACATTCACGTTGGATTACCAGCAGATGAACTGGAAAGGCTTTTGTTGTTTTGTACGCACAATATGAAATTCTCCTTCGTAGGTGAACGCTATTAACAGATAGATGGAGTCGCTTTGGGCCGTCCTCTGGGGCCCATTATTGCAGACATTTTCGTCGGATATCTAGAACATCAGTTGAGGGACGAAATTAAAAAGCTGGATCTATACTGCTGGTATGTTGATATATTTATATTTATCATTTGTGATGCAAAGGAAGACGGGGAGAGATTATAAGAACACTTAAATAATCTCCACTCGAACATAACGTTGACACGCCACACTGAAACGCAAGACAGCATCGCCTTTTTGGATGTGGAAGTTTCACGTCGAACCGATGGGTCAATCAGAAGATCTGTGTACCGGAAGGATAGATGGTCCGGACAATATCTCCATTTTACTAGCTTTGCTCCAACGGGATATAAGATTGGTCTAGTTCGAACGCTCTTCTACAGGGCGCGGCTCATTTGCACAACGGATACATGGATACCAAATATGAAAAGATCAGAAAAGTTTCACACTCTAACGGGTATCCGAAAGGGTTAATCTTAAAACACTATCAACCCAACCATACTCGAGAAAAGACACCAGGTGCAGATAAGATGACAGTGCTCCTGCCACTGCCCTTCCAAGGTAACTATATCGGCTGCCTGATTATCAAGCGCCTAAAATCGGCCGTTAAACGCACCGACTACGCAGTTGACCCCATTGTTGTATTTGCAACCGCCCGGTTGTCAATACCATCGGTGAAAGAACCGCCGTCTTTCCACGCCAAATCTAATAGTAGTTATCAGTTCAAGTGTGGATGCTCGGCCATCTACATCGGCAGAACGGAGAGACAACTGAGTTATCGAGTAATCGAGCACATCCCGATCTGGCTTCAGAAAACAATGAGTGGAAACTTCGGAAGTATGAGGTCACCAATGACGCGTAGGAAACTCAGTTCGTCGATCACACAACACCTGGTCGAAATGAAACAGTGTCATGCTGCGCGACGCGTTCAGAATCCCCTACAACACAAACAACACCAAGGTTCTGAAATACGCCGAAGCACTAGCCATTCAGAATTACTATCCCAAACTGTGTGAACAGCGTGAATGGCTTATCACTCTGGCGCTACCTTGCTAATGAATGTGTTTGGTGAGTAATTTTGACCGCAATCTTTCTCCGCGTATGATTACGTTATTTACTGACCATATATTAATGATCAAATAGACTGCAGTATGCACGTG